AATTCGCAAGAGAATCTAGTCTATTTTTAGAAGCTTTTTAGAGTATACCGACTAGGTCTAGATCACCACATTGTTAGAAAGACTTTTATTCAATTTTAAGCAAATTTGTCAAAGACATCATTCATATCAATCGAATAATTCTAAAGTTACAAAACATATAACGAATGAATGCACTTGAGTCACAACCATAAGCACCACAAGAGAATCTATTCTAGAGATGTAATGAATAAATTCACAAGTGAATCCAGTCTATTTTTAGAAGCTTTTTAGAGTATACCGAGATTTGTAGAGCAAAATGTTGTTAGAAGAATTTTTTTATTGTTTAATTTCAAACAACTTTCCCTTTTGCATCATTCATATCAATGAAGTGGTTCAAAAGTTACATGAAATGCAATGAATGAATGCACTTGAGTCAAAACCATGAACATCACAAGAAAATCTAGTCTATTTTCAAAGGCTTTTTGGAGTATATCGAGTTGCTGTAGAGCTGAACATTGTTAGAAGAATTTTTGTATCATTTAATTTCAAACAAATTTTTCTAATACATCATTTATGCCAATCGAATAGTTCAAAAGTTACAAAAGATGCAATAAAACATGTACTCGAGTCACAACAATGAGCTGTAACCACAAGAGAATCTGGTCTAGAAATGTAATGAATAAATTCGCAAGCAAATTTAGACTATTTTCAAAGGCATTTGAGAGTATACCGAGTAGATCTAGATCACAACATTGTTAAAACAATTTTTATATTATTTAATAACAAACAAATTCGTCTCATACATCATTTATATTAATCAAATGGTTCAAAAGATACAAGACTTACAGCAAATATATAGCATTGTGCATATTTTAGGTAATAATAATTCGACATTACACTTTTTTTTTACTAAAATTTAACATATACCAAAATTTAGATTAAAATTTCAAGTAAATATAAATTTCTAGAACTGTCAATTGTTAAAAATATATTTCATCACTCGTATTTAGTATTTTCTTGGCTTATGTTACAAAAATGTTCAGTTGTTTGCAGATAAATTAATAAAATGTTTGAAAAAATGCACAAATGCATTCCTCCCTTAAATTAGAGTAAAATATACGTGGTTTAAGCATTAATCAAATATATATATATATATATATATATATATATATGATGAAAGTTCCGTCGACGTTGATACATATTTGTAAATTTTTAAGCAGCCCAACAGTCGAATTAAAAAAGATTAAATAACAAAATTATTTATTCCATTATACGTTTCGACACTTGATGTGTGTCATCGTTCAGTAATCTAAAAAACATTTAACATAAATGCACAAGTGATGATAAATATAAATATATAAAAGGAGGAAATTATACATACCAAACCAGGAAAAACAAAAAACATTAATTATGATGTGAAAATTGATATAAACACTAAATTACTATACAACACACTATATATATATATATATATATATATATATAGAGAGAGAGAGAGAGAGAGATATATCTTAGGTGGTTCTTGGCAATATTAATTTCCAAATTACATTTTCCTTACTCATAATTTAACACACAATATAAATAAAATATAAATATATTATTATTCAAATCAAATTGAAATATTAAGAGTACTCCTTTCATATGTCGAACAATAACAAGTGGTTTTTGGCAATTTTTCCCTATTTTGTGCATTTTTACTAATTTTTCTTTAGTTCATTACTACCATCGTAAATGCATTGACCCACTCCAAAATGATTTATCAAAATTCGAATAGCCGTTTAGGAGCAGTTGAGTGACAACACACGTCCAGCAAATTTATATATACATATGGGATATATATATGTAAATATATAAGGGTGGTCCTCAATATGGACATGTTAGAATTTCCTTGCTCCCAAAGGTTCCAAATTGATAAAAAACAATTTTTTGAAAGTTTTAGCTCTTAATATTCACTTTTAGATAGTGCGCAATTCAATCAAAGTTTTGTATGGAAACAGCATGAAAAAAAATTCAAAAATTTTGCAGAGCGTCGAATTTTTAAGAATCAATGACACGAATTTTCACTTTCAATTCATTTGTCGCTGAGTTATACCGAAAAAATGTTTTTTTTTTAGTTTTCAAATTTTTTTTCATGCTATTTCCATACAAAACTTTGATTGAATTGCGCACAATCTAAAAGACAGTATTAAGAGCTAAAACTTTCAGAGAATTGTTTTTTATCAATTTGGAAGCATTTGAGCCCTTGGGAGCAAGGAAATTCGAAAATGTCCATATTAAGGACCACCCTAATATATATATATATATATATATATATATATATATATATATATATATATATGTCTGTGGCTGTGTATTTTCTATATATTAAAATTTCTTCCCCAAGTTGATCAAATCGGACGGAAAGCGATCAACTTCATTTACAGTCCTGAAGTGTTTCAATTTCGCAAACTCCGAGTGATGTGATGCGAGAGGACGTTGTATAAAAGTAGAAATGTAAAAAAATCGTAAAAAAGCGTAAAAAAACGTAAAGAACATGAAACCGTATAAAACGTATAAACGTTCAGAGCTTCGCTCTCTCATCCGAGCATAACTTTACAAAATGCTCATAAAAAATAAAGTGCGAGGAGGCGGTGGAGACGCGAAAAATTTTATTAATGAAAATTTTTATCTTCTTGTGATGAACAGATGGATACTAAGGATATATATATATATATATATATATATATATATATATATATATATCTTAAATATAAAAATGGAGCTCTCGATAAAATGATCCGCTAAAACTCGAAAACGGCTAAACCGATTTGGCCAGTCTTAGTCTTGAAAAATTCGTGCTAATCAGTAAGGTTGTCGGAAAGGTGAGATATTATTTCAAAATCGCGTAGAAACTTTACATTTTCAATTTGAACATTTTTGTAGAAGCGTAATTTAAATAAAACAATGGACGGTGGCTAATACGTCAAATGTTACACGTTTTTGACAGATGATGTTCAATTACGTTTAATAGGATGTTTTACGTGATATATTCTTTAATTATGATTGAATTGTGGTAAGTAGTTTTGTTTGTAGTTATATTTATACACAAAAACGTTAGTAAAGAAGAATTATAAAACTATAAAATCAAATATGTTTCTATCTAACAAAAGAAACTAAAAAATTGCAATGCACACTTGCATACTGTATTTATATTAGTTGCGAATCGACGGTTGGATATGATACGAGAAGTACAGTTGAAAAATGTTTTAAAAATATACTGTATTATACTAGAGCTATAAAATTTCAGTATGTTATTACCTAATATATGTACTCAATTATAAAAATATAAAATCACATATGTTTCTAACAAAAAAAGCTATAAATATGCAATTTTATAAACAAAAGCACTCTTGCAATAGTTGCAAGTCCACGGTTTGATGAGTATTTTGAAAAATATTTAGAAATACAAAACGTTATACTACAGTTACAAAATTTTAGTATGTTATTTCTTAATATGTGTACTAAATTATAAAAATATATAATCACCCATATTTCTCACAAAAATAGCTATAAATTTGCAATTCAGTAAAATCATGTAACAGGGCTGCAAGTGTTACTACAAACTCAACAATATCAACTTTTTTGAAATGTTAATATGAAAATGCACTTTTTGGCGTTGTAGCACTCTTTTTTTGCTAATCATATTTTTCTCAAACAGGCTGCTCTGAAAGATCTCATTTGTATAATTATATATCATTGGTATTTGTAAAACATTTTCTAGGTTATATTA